CCGCTGTCCCTCGCGCGCCTGTTGCCCCGCCCGCCCACTGAGCCGCTCCCGCCGTCCCTCGCGGGCCTGTTGCCCCGCCCGCGCCGCTCCCGTCGTCCCTCGCGCGGCGCGCTCGGCTCAGCGCCCCCTGGTCGGGTGGGCCTTGGCGCGAGTGGCGCGGCCTTCTCAGGACTTTTTGGCGGTTTCTCCACCCGCGTCCCCGTCCTCCGGGCTGCAGAGGCTCCTTTGTTTTGGGGGCTTTCCTTTCGCTGGGCGACGCCGGCTCCGGGCGTCCCAGGCCTCTGGAATCCGCCCGCCCGCCACACCTCCCCCACACCTAGGCGGGAAATCTTCCAGCCAGAATCTGAGTGATTCCGGAGGACGTAGTTCTACAGCTTTGGGTGCAGAATAGATAATCCTGCCTTGTATGTGGTGTTGGTGGCGGCAGGCCCGAGCCGTCCTTCCGTGCGGCGGCCGTGTTAACTCTCCTCGGGTCCTATCTTCAGCCCCCCCCCCTCCCCCGTAGGACAGTGTCCCACAATGTGCCGCACTAGCGTCAAGGGAGGGGATCACAGATTTCCTGGCTTCTTTATGCAACGGCCGTTCCTTCTTAGAGCCCGCGGTACTGGGACAGTTCTGTTTTCTTGTGCAGTTTTATTCTGTAAGGCACGAGGGTTTATGCAGACACTTCTCTCTCTTACGAGCTGAACTAGATGGATTAATCGAGGTCAAAACCTTGGGAAAGAGAACCTTAGTTCAGGTTGTTGCTCTAGGTTAGTCTGAGGATTGTTAGTTCCCAGCATAGAAAAGATGTTTGGGCAAAATAGGAAATGCCAGTTTTCAGCTTTAGGTCCGACTCCACTTTAACTTGTAGGTGCTTTAACTTTAGAAACGTGTTCCTGAGCCAAATAGAATTTTGGAAAGGTCTTCTGCTACTTTCTGTTACTGTAGGAGTTGGTCATTAAACGTTTACGATTCGTTGTTTAATCACTTTTACATATTTTTCATAATTTAGCCATCTAAAATAAACCTGAAAAATGCCTACTTCCCCACCTGCTTTGATGGGGCCTTCCTTTCCGACCTCTTGTTTCTCTTTCCCCAGTGATTTCCTGTAATTTAATCTGAAGTCTTAACGAAACTTTAAACAGTGTAAATTTATAATGTAATTTTAAAAATTAAGCTCTAAAATTGTCTTCAAAGCATACCTTTCTATTTTTCATTTTGTTTTAGGAACTCTTCGTTCAATATCTAGCCACCTATTCCTACCTACATGGCAGTGGAAAGGAAAAGAAAGCACTGACTTACAGTGATTTAGCAAATACTGCAGAAGAATCAGAAACTTTTCAGTTTCTTGCAGGTACTTAGTCTTTAAAATATTCTAGTTAAAAAATGCTTAGTAATTATAGCCTTTTGTTCCTGTTGTGCTTTCACTGAATTAGACATTTTGCCACTTTCCCCAGGTGCCAAAGTTTACCATGACCTGGTGCAGGAAGATATTTTTCGTCTTCCCTGTTGGAATCTGTGATGTAGTCCACCTAGAACAGTAGTGAAGTCAGTAACATGCACAAGATGTTTGGTTGCCTGGGTGAGCTGGGCAGATCCGCCCCACCCCCCTTTCTCCCTGTCACTGAAGGGAAAACTCAGAGTAGTAGGTCTGCTTGGCCCCAGAAACAGAGAAATTAATACTTGCTGATGTGGAACAGGGCCACAGCTAAAAACAACTTAAGTCTACCCTTGGGGCCAGCCCAGTCTATCTCAGGCAGGTGGGCAGGGTTGCTCACAAAACCAGCGCATAGAAGCACCATGGTTTGTAGTCAGTGGAATGGGAACAGGTCTGTAGCATTAGTAAAGAGACAGTGTTTCTGTCTCTTGGAAGTGTAGTTTGAACTTTGTCTTATTTTGGAACCTATTCTAGAGGTTAAAGCAAGAACTAGTATATTTTGAAATTTGTATTGCTGTGTTTATAGTCTGGCATAACCAATCAGCAATCTTTATGTTTTTAAGATATATTACCAAAGAAGATTTTAGCTAGTAAATACCTGAAGATGCTTAAAGAGGAGAAGAGGGAAGAAGATGAGGAGGAGGATAATGACAATGATGATGAAGGGGACGACGATGAAGCCGAATCCTAAACCAAAAAAGAAGTGCTTTAAAAATCAGTCTGGTGAGGATCCTCCTGTATTAGCACCATTGCTCTGAAGTAAGCACAACGCTGTGCACCTTTAGACTCTTCCCTTTTTCAGAGACTTCCAGTATGATGTATTCTTTCCTGAGCACCTCATGCACCTAAACCCTAAGGAAAGTAACCCAGACAGCAGTCTCTCTTGATGGGCCCCCCCTGCAGTTGGTTACCAAGAAAGCTGCCAGTACGTCAGGCACTACCGTCTCACCTGCTGCAGCTCTAAACTGTAGAGGCACAGACGATTTTGCTCAACTTTTCAATTTACAAATAAATAGAATTTGAAGAGCTTCTAAATATCAGTTATGTAAATTCAGATATATATTTTGAAATTAGTTTTTGTAAATAACTAGATTCAGTTTTAGCCAAATATGTAATTTATGTGCAGTATGTTACATGTGAATTTTTGTATTATTTTTTTTTTCCTTTTTGTCTTTTTTCGTGACCGGCAACAGGATCACAACCCTCGGTGTTGCTCCTGCACCTCGCTCAGCCAGTGAGCGGCCGGTCTGTATGTGGGAT